CATCTTTTCAAACAATATGTCTTTCTTTACTGACTCAGATGAGTCTTTGTGTATAACACTTACCGGGATTATTAAAGGAAAGCAAATCTGATCTCATAATCAAATTAGATATATTATAAACTTAATAGAGATGTCTTTTGAGTTCATAAAAAAGAACGCTCATCTTAAATGGACACAAGTAATTAACAGTGAAGTAGCAAAATGTCTGCAATTTACTTTCAAATGGGATTCAGCAGAATGAAAAGAAAAAAATATGTAAAATCTGTGTAAATATGAGAAAGCAACTGTTGCAAAATGTTAACAATGCTGGCTCTAAGTGGAGAGTATATGGGTATTCAGAGTATTTTTTTCAACTTTTCTGTGAAAAGTTTCACAGTAAAAAGCCAGAGAAACAAAGGATCCTCACTGGCTCCTAGTTCTCTTGAATATTTGTCCAGTCATTTCTTTTTTTGCCTCAAGTCCCTTCCTTTAAAACAACCGTTAGAAATTGTGTTATGTCTTTTTAACAAACATCATAACTCTAGGAAAGAGATTTTAAAAGTAGGCTTAAAGACTGGTATCAGTGAATTCTGTTACCTGAAAGTTAACATCTTCTTTCTTAAATATTAGTGCTCGAACTTCATCAGGATCTCCATTAAATATAGCTTGCACCAGTGATGGCTAAAATATAAGAGAGTAATAAAAACATTAATTACAGCACATGGATATTTTAAAGATATTTCTACGTAAGTTTTAAATCTAAAAATTTTCTTCCCTATAGCAAGAATAACCATTTGGATTTTGATATTAACCAAAAGTGTTGTGAAGTCAAATCATATGAAAATACAGGATTCTTTCTTGGGGAAAAAAGGTCTAATAAAAAAATTAATTCCGTATGACAAACACTAGGTGGTATAATAAACATAATCAGATTTTATTTTTTATGAGTGCATGCCGTATGTTTATATATGTGGTAAAAAGAAAGTTTCTGCTAAATACAAGTGTGACATCTCAACATCTACTTATGGGACACAACTTGTCAAACAGTTCCCAGGCATCACTAAGGCCCATGAAAGAAGGCTTCTTTGAAAAGTTCTGTTTGGGACATTAAAATAACTTGCATGGGTTAGCAAACATGTATAAAGATATAAACCCAAAGAAAGAAAAGCTGGCAATTGATGAAAATCACTACTATTCAAAGACCAAAAAATACTGTATACCTGAATAATATGAAGAGAAAAACACGTGCATGTCTAAATATAACAACTTCTTAATCAACGACACAGTGACTCTCTGATAAGGTATCATATTATACTAGTCAAACAAGAAGCCAATTGACAAGAGCATTAAAAATAAGGTTAAGAATAAAGTCTGATAATTTTTCCTATAAAAGTCTTGCATGTTAATACATAAAATTCATTGCAGAAAAGTCTGTGCCCCGGTGTTGCTGGCAGTAGTCAACCTTTCCTAAAACACAGAGTTCCTCATTCTTGTTACATCAATTTTTAAAACCACAAAATGAAAACAGAAACGTGGTTGCCATAACCATTATTCTCAAATTTTAAAAAAAGTCTTAAGAGATTAAGAGATAGCAACTAAAGTCTGAAATGTTACCTAAACATCTGAAAAAGTAAAAATCAGAAACGTGTGTTTTACACACAAGTAATGTTGCATCATATTTATACACATATATTGCTTTAAATTGGGTTTTTAATGTAACTACTGGAAACTAACTTATGTTTCTTCTTAAGGAATAAAATTTACCCTATTAGTTCAGTAGAATACAGTAAACATATAAACTCTCATATCTTACCAATACATTTCCAGGAGGTGGAGAATGTAGGCATTTATTTTCCTGTGGTGATTTAGAAATGAATGCAGGAGACTCATCTTCTACCTCCTCCAAAACAACAATACACACTCGACTCATTCGCTCTTTTAAAATACTAAATTCCAAGCTATGTGATAAAAGTCACAGTTGGAAGAACACAAGTAGTTTTTCCTCCTCTTCTGTACAACACTTAGAATCATTCTTTGAATAGCGTAGCTGGTTTTTTAAAGTTAATAAGTACCTCCGGAAAAACTGAAGTTTAAAGTTATGAATACATAACTCACAACTTCCTAAAAACAACTAAATTCTGTTACTTTCCGTTGGGTTACTGCAATACTTAAAAGAAATTTCACATCAACATGTCAATAACTAAAACTGAGTCCAGTACAAGCTAATTCAAAAATATTTTTCCCCTACCAAAATAGTCATATTGCTGTCTCACAGAAATTTACTTGCATAAAAAGAACATTGTTTTGGGTGATACCGTCACACCAGGCAGAATGAAATGAGACACAACTGCTGCGACAGAGATAATTACAGCTATACTCACTCTTGCCTACAAGGTCATAGAGTTACCAGTAGCTGGCTTGCTTATAATTGAAAATAACAAGTAAAATCCACTTCTAATTCGTCTTCATTTCTTCAGCTTTACTAGTTTAATGCAGATACTATCCAGAAAGAAAAAAAAAAAAAGCAAATCTAGAGCTCAGCACAAATTCTTAAAATGCAGCTCAGAGGTTGACAATTCTTTCTGTGTTCGGGAAAGAAAAAAACAACAACACTGCATTAATAGCAAAGCTGCAGTACATTTACATGCTGATCACACTGAAAATAGGACATTTTAAATGTTCTTTATTAATGAATATTTAAAACCACTTCTAATTCGTCTTCATTTCTTCAGCTTTACTAGTTTTATGCAGATACTATCCAGAAAAAAAAAAAAAAAAAGCAAATCTAGAGCTCAGCACAAATTCTTAAAATGCAGCTCAGAGGTTGACAATTCTTTCTGTGTTCGGGAAAGAAAAAAACAACAACACTGCATTAATAGCAAAGCTGCAGTACATTTACATGTAATGAGTCAGAACACAAGAGACAATAGGACTCTTGGTATTAGAATACAGCTTAATTAATCTAGATATTCCACATAATAGAAGAAACACAGATAGCTTTATTCCCATCGGTAGTATAAGCAAGGCAGAGCGTTCATTCTTTCTCCATCAGATAGTTGTCTGTGGCTGCTCCAGCAAAAGGGCACAGGCACCAGGCAGAAATGGTGTTAGCAGGGAATCCTAATAGAACAGGCAGGCCGCGAAGGAATTAGAAGGCATTTGAGCTCGAATTACTGCTTCAGGCTTTTCATTTAGAAAGAGAAAAAAAAAAATCCAGTAGTTTATCATTCCAGTGTTTCCTTTGATCTCCACACGAATACAGCTTCCATTAAACAGTCTTCATTCAGATGAAAAAACAGCAGACTCTGCATCTTCTTTGAGTCAACTACTTTATTCAATCATCTGTGTCAATACAGTTTCCTTCCACTGTGAAAGCCGCTACAGTTATCCTTTTCAGTAGATTTCAGATGCTTTCTGTTCCTCAGATGATCTTGCAAAACGCCACTGACGCCTCCAAATGAGTAGGTCCTTAAAAAATATCTACAGAACCTCAGGATCGGCCCCACAGAAACATTCCAACTGAGCAACAGTCTGAATAGCAAAGACTGCAGAACCGCAGGATGAAATGCCTAGTAATGCTCACATGTTACACTTACCAGAGAGCTGAGCTACTGCTCGGGATGTGACTTCCTCTAGCAGGAGAAAAAATAGTGCATTTGGACAGCCTTCACAATTAGAAGGTTCATGCCAGTTCTGTGACTAATCCAGAACAAAATGAAAAATTCTATAACTGAAAAATGAGTGCGCTTTTAACATTTTCCACTAAAAGCCACAAGGGAATCTGGGGTACTGCCTCTGCTGACTAACACTGGTTTGAGCAAGTAAACAATTCTAAACAGCTTAACTGCTTTCGTATGTTAGAGTATAGCAAATGTTTAACCATATAATGACAGCTGAACCCAGATAAGAGAATTAGAAATGAAGGAGAAATATTTTATGATAATATAAAAACCATGAACCTAAGGTTTTATTCTTATTTTTTACCAAGATCATTTTAAAATCTACCAGATGTATGTTACCTTCAAGGATGCAAAGAAGTTTAAACAAAATAAATTTAAGATTTATTAACGAGTTCTAAGTTGTTGAATTTAATCAAATCATATTTTTAAAGGAAAAAAATTTCATAGTGTAGAAATTCTAACTCTAAAATTCTATGAGTCACTTGAATTTTCACTGAAGAAATTATTCTACCTTGACACTCAGAAATAGAATAAAGTCTTAAAATCTGTTAAATAGCTACATAAAACAAATGTTTAAAGTTCCTGGTACTATACATCAAAAAGGCATAGGGTAACACTAAGAAAGCAAAGAATCTTCCTCCCCTATAAAATTAACATTCCCAAAACTATAAATATCAAAAACTACCAATTTATAGTTGGCTTCCTCCCTTTCTATGTTTACTCGACGATGGAGATATTTTCCAACAGAAAAATAACAAAGAAAATACCATGGCTCCCCTTCAATTTTTGTTCTTCTATCAACAAGCATTTTTATTAATAAACCTAAGTTTTTTGTGAACACTTATGATGTGCTACATGTACTTTCTCATTTAATACTCACAGTAACCTTACTACATTCCCATATTATAGAGGAAAAAACAAGACTCAGAAATTAAGTATTTTATCCAAATTCATGCAAATGAGTAAAGTTGTGCCTAATTTTAAACACATGCTCTTTCTAATCTATTCTGCTTCTATTGAGGGTATGTACACATACATTCTCAAGAGCTTTACAAACTATAATACTAGACTGTAAAAGTGATCTTAAAAGACAGATAACCTGTAACGACTGTGAAGAGTTTGAGAAATGAAGGAATATACTATTTATTGCAACGATATTCTTAAACGAGTTTTTTTTTAGATGAGTATTTCAGGGCTAATTTGACCTCCTCACACATCAAAGCCAGTTTACTTATAAAAACATAAGGAGGAAAAAACCCCAGCATGATATAGATTAACACAAGAATGCCAGAATTTAAGAACAAAAACCATTAAATATCAATCTATGAAAAAACTTGTAACCTTAATATAACTTACCAAGATACTAAAATATGCTAACAATTTACATAGTTGTATTTTAAAATATAAAAAAATGTTTTAAGGCCAAATTAAAGACATGGAAGTATTTTACATACAAAAATGATGTTAACTATCTCCACATGGCTAAATCAAAAATATTACCTTAATATCTGAAATACCTGAAAACGATACCACTATAGGAACAATAAACTATACTCTATCTTCTGGGTCCTCGCCCCCATCGCCCCCCCAAAATCCCAAAATTCCTCTTTATATGAACAATTTTAACTTGTTCCAAAGTATCCAGTGTATAAATACTTAGACATAAGCAGGTACGTCCAGTTTCTTGTTCTAGGTCAAATTCCACACTTAGGTCTTTCCCAACCAGAAAACAAGCTCCTTGAAGGCAGGGACTGTGTTATATTCATATTGTTTCCTTCCATGTTCTTCTACCTGTAAATAATTTCACTGCAACAAATTCTATTATGTCATAAGATTCTGGAATAGAGTGGCAAAATTATAAAACACAATAGGGGATTAATATATGTGTACACACACACACACACTTTTATCAGAAAACACAAGAGGCATTAAGGTGCAACAAAATGAATTTTATACCTCTCGTAGGTGAAAGCGACAGGATATAAAACAATGATATGACAGCTAAACTAAGGGCTCAGGAGTCAGCCTACCTGGAGTTCAAATTCTGATTTCATTATTTATTAGCTGTGTCCATGGGCAAGCTACTTAAATTCCCTGAGCCTAAATTTCCTCACACTTATAAAGTAATAATAATAATCTCCTGAGATTTTTATCTAGGAGAAATACTGTAATAACATAGTGATAGACAACAGGTTTTGCAGCTAAACTGCATGTATTGTAATCTAGTTTCCCACAGGTTAGTTAACCTCTCTGGTAATCATTCAACATCTATTAAAGAACATTAACACAATCTACTTTATAGTGCTATTCATAGTGAAGTTTAAATATGAAATAAGATTTTATTATTATGGATATTTAGGGTAGTTGAATGATATCCTTAATGAAACCAGTGAGCAAATAAAGGTCTAGTGACAACCTCCCTCAACTAGTGAGGTGATTCAAACTGGGGCTGGAGAAATCTCCACCCTTTCCAGCCTTCTCGAGAGACTGCTAGAAACTAGTCTAACATTCCAGTAACCAGACAAGAGTTTACTACCTGTTATTGCGGGGGAGGGAGCAGCAAACTTAGGCAAGAAGTGACTACAGGTTTTTTCCGTTCTTACAGATTCAATGTACTTTACAGTCTAGGGAAAAAGGTAAAAAGTACTGGCCCATGATCTACTACATTAGTAAAGATAGATAAAAAATCCTGAGATAAATATTTCAATATTTTTTATTAGTTAACAGCACTATATAGCACTGTTTTATATCTTCTATTAAATTAGGCCCCTAACCTCAAGGAACTTATATCTTAAAGGAAAAGAGGCAGGTAAATAATAAGTATTTAAGAAATCTGAAAAAGAGAAAGTACTTATAAAAAAAATTACTGACAAAGACTGTGTAGTTAAGTTCAACACTGTTTTTTGTTGTTTTTCAGTTAAACAATGGCAAAGGAATGTGGTTTTTTTCTTGAGGCACTTACTTTTTAGGCCAAATTAGAGTGTTTTAGTAAGCCAACAATTTCAACTCTGACTTCATAATTCTATTCTTTATGCTAAAATGTATCCTATCAAAAGCTTACTCCTAACTCTTCACAGAATCATGTAATGGTAAAGCTCATTTAAACCTTCATTTTACTGATAAAAAGTTAACATCCTGAAAGAATATTTTTAGGTTCTTACTTTTGTTTCATCAGAACTTTTTTTTTTTATACAAATGATTTTTCTTTCTGCATAGAGACTCAATCCAAAGCTCAATTTACCTCTTACAAATCTGTGAACCCATAATGATAATCACAGAATAAAATATTTCACTCAGGATGTATTAAGTGACTACTCTGTTCTAAGCTGGTCTCTGAGTATTAAAAAAATAAAAAGCTTGTGGTGAAAGATAGTAAGTAAGTGAGTTTAAATCATGTTTCAGAATAATTTCTCATAGTTCAAGAATCCTAAACAATATTCTCATCTGTTCATGTACTTTAGAAAAAGTCTTATGAACAGATTTAAAAGGTCAGATTTTCTTGTGAATTAGTAGAGACATTGCAAAAATATCACACTGCTGACCGTTGAACGAGATGGGTTTGAACTGTGTAGGCACACATGGTTTTTTTTTTTTTTCTTTCAATAAATACTGTAAATGTATTTTCTCTCTCATAATTTTCTTAATCTTTCCTCTAGCTTACTTTATTGTAACACGCTATATAATACATATCACATACAAATATGTGTTAATTAACTGTTTATGTTATTAGTAAGGCTTTGTAAGGTCAACAGAAGGCTATTAGTTTTGGGGGAGTCAAAAGTTATATGCAGATTTCAACTGTACGGGAGGAGAGGATGAGGTTGGTGCCCCAACTCTGCTTGTTCAAAGGTCAACTGTATATTTAAAAAATAATGAATTCAAAATCCTTAGCAGATCATATTTAATTCTCTGCATGAACGTATAAACTAGGCCATTTAAAAAAATACTTACCCAATCA